TATTTTTGAAAGTGCTTTTCTTTCGCAAACATGCCTTTTCTTTAAAACATTTGCAAGGCCAAAACTCTTATGAAAATAGGCTATCAAACCTGTGGCTAGCGTTGCGCTTTCCTAGCCTCTGCTTCCTCGAAGCCTTCAGTTTGATTCCTCAACTATCATTGATACAAAACAATACTTTAGGATCCAAGTCTCATTCCTAAAGTAATTCAATCTCAATTATACCCTTTGATTTCCTATTAGTGTGCCATAATCCAATTTCAAATTCCATTAATCATTTTATGTTTCAAATCATCATTCCAAGGGTTTTAATCTCAAAACATGGATTAAAAATGTTAATCCATTCACTTTAGATCCCCAAATGAAGCTTTTGGGTTATCCTAAAAAACCGAGGTCAAAACAACATTTTCAAGCAAAACAGGATCAAACCCCGTGTACACCGGTCGACCGGTGACAGAGATGTACAACACCACCAGTCGACCGGTGGTGTGCAATCCGGTTGACCGCATAGGTCGACCTGGTGGAGTGCAATCCGCTCGACCGCATAGGTTGACCGATGGAGAATAGCAAGGCGAGGAAACTCGCCGAATCAGTCTGAAAACCTGCAATTTCGAGTTTCAATTCGAGATATTTCAAAGGGAAATCATCCAATCAAGGTTCCAAATAACAAAACAAGTCCAAAGAATAAAAAATCCTCAATTTCTACCGGGATTTTACTCAAATTCCATGAAAATCTATTTTGAACCAAAAATAGGTTTTCTAATAAATAAATCCGAGATTAAAGAGAGGGTTTTTTCAGAAATCTTACCTCAAATCCTTCTCTTGACGTTGAAAACTTCTTGAAATTCTTCTTTGGTTCGAAATCCGGTTGATTTGAAGCAAAAAGGGGAGAGAGAGAGTGAGAGAACGAGAGAGAAGAGAGAGAGAGAGTGAGGATGCACGGCAGGAAAAAGAAAAGGAAGGAAAAGAAAAGAAAAAGAAAAAGATAGGTATCACAAAAAATAAAAGACAGTCCAGAAAATGTGCCTACACACACTCTGAGGTACAAATATAAATACTGAGAACATTTAAATTCCTTAGAAATATTTAAATTTACACGTCAGAAACAATTATGAATCAATAATTAATTATTTAAACCAGATTAGACACGTTAATAAATTTTAATTACCTTAATTAATCTCGTTTAATTTCTCAAGGTGTTACAGAAAGAGAGAGCTGAAAATGGGGTGTAGAGAGAGAGAATGGGCAGGGGAAAGTTGGGAATATCTTTGAGGTGCTTTTAAATGATAATTTTGAACTAAGTGGCATAGAAGTCATTTCACCCTCATATTGCTAACATGGCGATACTAACTGTAAAAGTAGACAAAAGTGATGCTAATAATAATAATATTTTATTCAGAAGTGCTATTATTGAAATTTACCTTAAAGATAAAGCAAACAAATAGATAACCGTAATAAGTACAGTGGGTTTTCACGAATTTGGTCCTCGTTGACGGGAGGCGTACTAAGAAAGATAAGTCGAGTTTTCTTTAAAAGTCCCTGTCATAAGGAATGAGGAAAAAAAGAAATCTGTTAGAACATGCATTAAAAAACTAAATGACGTGATCATTTAGAGGAAATCTAGCTAGCTAGCAAGGTTATTGAGGCAACAAAAACATTGATATGATATATATTTCACGTTGAAAGTACTGCGTAGTAACAAGCAATTTAAGGTACTGATACAATGTTTAATCTTCATTTAGTGCGACAAATGAAAATATATAGCAACACTAGTTGTTGCCCTAGCTTAAGACAATATTGTACCATGAGATGGATTGCAATTTTTCTCATATTAACTTCCACATATTCTGGAAGTGGTACGTGAGGGCCTAGGCCAGATGGATGAGGCTTCACCGAATCATTGCCTCCAAAGTAGACAATCACCAAGGTTGACTAGCAGCATCTATAGATCATTATTATGTATCAATTGTTTTATTTTATTTTTCTTAAATAAGAAGTGTGTGGAGTGGCGACCAAGCTAGTGGCCACACGTTAAGTTGAACATCTAGTTATAGCTTCTTAAATTGAGAGACGAAGCACGCCACTTTAACAACACCAAAAGATAATGAACATTATAAAGCCGGTAGTCTAAAAATGGTATCAATAATATTCTCAAGCGCTTTCCATTATATTTTTAGTTTACATTCAATTAATGATGATGTTCATATTAAAAGTTTAAATTTAAATTAATTTTAGATTTAGATTAAATTTCAAACTATAAAGTTACCAAAATACTTCCCAAATAACTAATTAAATGTCAATTTTTGTAAAAAAATTAATAAAGTGTTTTTTTTTCTATTAACATTTCATTGCTTAAAGGGAACAGATATTTCGTTTTAAAGATCAAGAGGCAAAATGTTATAAAGGGTATAATTCGGGAGGAATTCTTATAATTAATCCTAATATTAACTATATCAGCTTTCATAACAAAACAACCACTCATGAGATTGGGCTCATATGTCCTATTTCGTGTTCTCCCAATATTTCCATGTCATGGTATTTTAGTTGATATGATATTTTATTAATGTGTTTTAAAGGGATATGAAAGGGGACATAGGAGTCAAATCCCACTAATGACGCAACATCTTAAACTGTAAAACAAGTTTTTGTTTCCTGGTAAAATTATTAGAATAGAAGTCCAAGATATAACATGAAAACAAAAAGAAAGAGCTTACAGTATGCCTATGTTTAGGGTGAATTACTATGAAAGGTGAAAATAATATATAACCCTACGTATGCCTCTGTTACTAATATCATTATGTCCCATAAATTGTCATGCAATTTAATGGGGTGAAAAAACTTATTGTCATCATTATACGACTGATTACATTATTAAGGTTTTTATCAACAAAATAGGTCATACTAATAGAATCTTATCAGTGGTGCATTTTTTCAGATCCTACAATAGAAATCTGCTTATAACAAAATAGCTATGTCTAAATAATATTTTAAAAAGAATATATGATTACTTAATAATAAACTTGCAGCTCCCCCTTTCTATCACTAGTTTTTTTTTTTTTCCTTTTTTTTTGTGTGCACCACTCGCTTTTCTCTTTTAGGGCCAGAGTCGGACACTACCTCTTGACTGGTCGTCGAACCCCTGGTCTTAGAGACGGGGCTCTAGGTCTCATGACAATGATTATGGTGGTGGTGGAGAATTCATACACGGAGGGAAGGGATAGAAGGTGTTGGTTTTTTAGCCAATCATGTTGTACGTGTCAGATCTCCAGCATATCTACAATCTCAAGATCTTGCTCTTCTCATCACGGTGGTCATGGAGGGGGGAGCTGTGCGTGGATGAGCGCGCAATATCAGTGGTGGAGTCGTGTGGGTCCTCGTCGATCTATCCTTTATGATCTTGGTGGGCAGCTTATCTCTGAGGATTTTATCTGTGTGGTTGAGGGATTTTGTCTTGGCTTTTAGTTTATATTTTGATGTAATAAAGCGATTTTTATTCCGTCGTTTCAGTTTTTATGTTTTCTTCGTGTAATTACAAAAGTTGTCGTCCGACCATTTTATGGTGATAGTAAGTTTATCCCGTTAGGTGATTAGTCTCAGATGATTGGTTTTATCCATCGACTGTAGTGGTTTTGTTAAACGAGCGTTTTTCACACTTGATTGTTAATGTGTTGAGCGGGGTTTTCCCCTATTAGGGCTTGACACTCATATTTGTGCCTCATTTGTCTTTACTGGTGGATCTAGTTTTTGTCAGTGGTCAAATACTCTTATATTTGATGGCCATTTGTGACTACCTAGAGTCTGTATTGACTTAATTATTAAATGAAATTTACTTATTAAAAAATATATATTTTAAATGATTAGAGAGAATTATTAGTTAAAACAGATGAAGCACAGGGACGAAACACAAGTGTCGAGACCCAACGGAAAAAGACTCCTTTCGAACATAAAGATGGATCACAGCCAAGACTTATTAGACAGAACTACTACAGTCGATGGGTTAATCCAGTAGACCGAGACTAAATCCCAACGAATAGGGACACAAGTAACATGACATGGAATCAAATCCAGTCAGATACCATCACTCATGATCCTGATAAATGAGTGGGACACATAGACAAAGTCAGAAGGTGGAGAAACCACCTCCGTTATTATTAAACTAACACAACAACAAAACACTATAAACCAACACCAACAAGGTAAAAATGTTAAGGCCTTTATTACAAAACAATAAAAACAACGAAAAAAACAAATAGCCATAGTCAATATGGAGGACTCAACGACAACAAGTCGACCATCGCGCACAGAGTAGGCAATTAAATCTGAAAAGAGTCGCACGAAAGGAGCATAACTGCCAACCACAAAACCAAATTCGGAGATCCCAAAAGAAGTGTTGTACTATAGGGATCAAGACCCCCATGCCACTGGAAACATCCCGCATCTGGCATCATCAAAAGCCTTAAAGCTTCCATCTCTGGTAGCGATCACCCCAAACATCACCTCCTAGATCCGTCCACCACGAGTGCCACCATACCGTACCCATCAACCGCAAGAACCACCCACAAGACCAGGCTATCATCGCGAGGGCCAAGAGTCTGACAAGCAGCCAGAGGCGGCATCGAGACTCTGACTCTAAGAAGAAAACCAAAGAGAGAAACCCTAACTGCCTCTACGAACGAAAGAGAGAGAAGAAGAGAGGAAATGTTTTTTTTCCCTCTGTGTTAGAACCCAATAAATGATAAAAGAGAATTAGTCTATTGTATTATATTATATATACCCATTTTAAAAATGACAGCTGATTTTGCATAATAACATACAAAACATAGTGCAGTTACGGTAATACATATATTTCTTTTTAAAGTATCTTTTCTGTTGTATAATCAAAACAAAATTATGCGTGTTTTAGTTTTATTAGATCTTTTGTTCTTTAATTTTAATAAATTTTTTTGCTTACAAAAAAAGGCGTTTTAGTTAAACAATGTTATAAGTTGTTTTAAGTGGTTTGCTCAAAAATTCTATTGCTGTTTGCTCAAAAAGTTCATAAATGAACTGAATCAAGGATTAAAACTACTTTTTCCCTCAAAAATTCTTTCAACTTGAAAAGACAAATTGTGTTGCTCAATAGTCATCTAAAACTCCCAAGTCCCAACTCTATTATAGTTCCAACAATGACCGCAACATATGGGCAACCACCAAGCGGACGGCCCATAACCCACTGTAAGCTCTTTTTTTTCCTTTAACCACCCCTTCTTCCCCATATTGTTGTTCACGTTTGCTTATAACAATCAAGTTAAAGAAAGAAAAGCAAAGTTTTTGCGAAAATCATTGGAGTATTGTGGCAAGAACACAGTTAATGTCTTATTGATGACAAATATTAAGACTGCTTAATCGTTTTCATCATGTATTCCCCAGTATATGATTCTGTCAAAGCTGAACTCGGACAAGTTCAAAGTTGTCTTCCCGTCAGAACTAAGTGGATAGTATGGTGAATCCTCTCCAAATTCAGCAGGCAATGAGTTGTAGTGCAAGTTTGGTTCCCAATCTTTCTCTTTGAGCACCTTTAGTATTTCCTTCACTACCACCTTGCTCCCCTCAGCTGAAAAATGTATTCCATCTCTGAGAGACAACAATACAATGATATCATTATATATAAATATATATATATATATATATACACACATACATATAATATTGATCCATACTGACCAGCCCCAGTATATAAGAAAACCAAGGATTAAATTTGTTATTTTTATAATTAATGTTTTAAGCTAAAACTACAATACGGGAAAATGTAAACTCACAAAAAGCAAGTGCTTTGCCAATCTTTTCCTTTCTGGATTGCCGTCCACAGGTCAATTGCCTTGATATCCATCTCTTTGCACAGCTCTAAGCAAGCTTCTGAATATTCTCTGCACAACTCATTTGTTCGACCGAAAAAGCTGTCGCTGCTTTTTTTTTTTTTTTTTTTTAAGAAAGAGAGAGAAAAATTAAGAGATATGAGATTGATCAACTAGAACTTAAAAATAAAGAGAGCAATCGTAGCCATGAGCACCTATAAAATTCACGAATTTGATCTTCGTTGATGGGAGGAGCAGTAAGAAAGATTATGCGGGTTTTCTCTGAAAGACCCTGGAGAATACAAATTTAAAAAGTTGTGTTTAGATATGAACATAATGGCTAATTTAAGTTATTTATAAGAGTTATTAGCATTATTATGAAAGTCATGTGTTACTTTGGTTCCGAACTTTTTTTCTTAGTAAATTACTTCTTAAACTTCAATCTTTTGACAGTTTTAGTTTTTTCTAAATAACAATTGACCAAAAATTCCAGATATTTAACAGTGATATATAATCACCTTCCAATCACGTAGTAACAGATATTTTTAACGATATAATTACACTAAATGCAAAATATTCTTTTCACTATTGCTAAAACCCCTTACAAACTCGAATATTCTGCATTTAATGTAACTATTTCAGTAAAACTTTTAGGTGTTATGCAAATTTGATAGAGTCTATTGTAGGATATTATTTTTGTACCCCGAAGTACAATTCTCAAAGTGTATCATATAATTAGTTTCAAAGAATTTGTACCTTGAGATGAATAGCAATTTTTCTCATATTTTCAACATATTCAGGAAGTGGCACATGTTGGCCTAGGCCAGATGGATGAGGCTTTACCGAATCGTTGCCCCCAAAGTAGACTATGACCAAAGAGGGTTGAACAGCAGCATCCTAAAGTTTGAAAGATACAAGAAAATATCAGCACCAAACGACAACCAAGTAGTGAAAACAAGTACTTTTTTTTTTTTTGCAGCTTGTCATGTTTTGTTTCTTGTACCTCTGGAAAAACTTGATCTAAAACCAGAAGAGCATGCCTTGAATTCCAACCGGAATATCCTCGTAAAACTATGTCAGCCTATGCCCAACAAATAAAATATCAGCGTGACGAGTGAGATTATAGTACACTTCTTTTGTGTCCTGAAAACTATTTGCATATACAACTCTCCTGTATCAGTATGATAACAGATGCAAAATTCAGAAACCTCGGCCTAAAACGCTGGCCAATTTAATCTTTGTGACATATTCATACATTATACGCTCATCTTTTACTAGAATTATAAGAGAAAAAATTCAAGCTAGTCTTTATGTGAAATTATAGTATAGGATGTCTTTCAGCTGATACATAGCTAGCTAGATTGATAGACATAGAGAAGAAATGAGCTCAAAATTTGTTTCTTCATTAATCAGGAAGAAGAAAAAAGGAACTTGCTCAAGAAAATTTATAGTGAAGATCAACGATATTCAATGCACATAGAGCAAGACAAAAATTTACAAATGAGGTTGGAAAAAAAAAACAAAAAATTAACAAGAAGCCCAAACAAGAATAATAAGAAGGAAAAAAAGAAAAGATATAAAGATCCATTGTGAATTTAAGACGATCAAAATTTGTCCCCGCAAATTCTGGCATCCAAATACCTACTAAAATAATTGGTAAGAACTGTATATGCTATAATCAGTTAGATGCATCATCGTTTAGTACTTCTATAGAAGTTCCATTAAACAGAAAACCAATATAAAAGTTCTCATGATGACGTTATGATGTATGTAGAACAAATTTTCTTTTAATAATACTAACAAAAATTTTATTACCCTTGATGCTCACTTTCACAAGAATTTTATATCAAAGGATTGTGCTTCAACATATATATATATATATATATTTTATCTTGTTGTTTCTTATCATTGGAATATATAAATAAATATGCGCTAATTCATCCAACATGTGTAATATCTACATTTCTAAGCATATGGAGTGACAAATATTATACTCTGTTCATTTTACTGATTCGAATTTAGAATTCGAGTTTTGTTACAGTAAAACGCTTTTAGAAAAAGTCACATCTAACTTTTTACTACAGTAAAAAGCTCTCACATAAAGTCACATATCAACTTATATTAAAAACTCGAATCAACGAACTAAACGGGTCAACAACTTTAGAAAACCTATACAATATTTAAGAATGCAAGATTTAGAAAAAAAAAAAAAAAGCAAAATTTCGGAAATAGAAATGCACATAAGATGTACTACAAACCAAGCACACAAGGTGGTGTCCTAAAAGGGGTGATCCTCAACTACATATCTAAGATAACAGAACTTATCCATTCTGCAACTACCAGTTTTACTTTTGCCACGTGAATAGCGCACTTTCAAATTAATTAATTCCTAGTGAGAACTGTGTAATTACCAATCAATACCACATAATGTAACAAATCACTTTGCAGTACTGTACCAATTTTCCAGCAAAAGATGTCTGTTAGTGCTTTTGAGTTTTGACAAATTACTTTGACAAAACATCAGATTTCAGATAATGCCAAGTATATAACAACATACACATACAAATATGTATATTTATTTATGAGGGTTAGTGATATTATACAATTAATTACCTGGTCATGTCGATCACCTGCATATAAATTTTATTTATAGTTGAAGATTTCCGATAATGACAACTACATAACATCATACACAAAGGCAAAGGGATAAATATTATAAGTTGCCTGGTCATGTGGACCTGCAAATTGATTGATTTTATTTATAAATTATTGCTGATGTCCACCGAATCAAATACCCAAAAAAATAAAAAAGATTCTCTAATATGCTTGACGTACTAACCGATAAGTTTTTTTAATAATTAAATCTACGTACTTTTTAATTTTTACGTGATTTTATATAAATTTAACGGATATAAAACTTAACCTACCTTATTTTGGCATACTGAAAAAGGACAAAAAAGCAAACCCAACTTCAAAAGAAAAAAAAAGGAAAAGTGATTTATTTTCATGGATTAATCACAGCTGATCAAACCGGATATTCTGTCGAAAGATTAAGAAATGTGTGGATACCCACCACTAGTGATGGAACAGTGGGAGCCTTTATGAAAATGTGGATTTCAAAGCTTTGAATTCAATTCCAAGAAACATGTACGCCACATGAAAGGAAAAAAAAGAAAAATCATCACAGTGCACAACAACCACATGATCGAACAATATTGCAATATACATTTTAATATAAGCTTTCTCTGTTAACACTACTCGAGACATATATATATATATATATGTATATATATATATATAAGGTATATAAAGTCAAAGAAATCAGAGGAACAATATACATATATAAATTCAGAAATACCACTCATAAACTATTCTGTTTCTTTTTATATTAATTGATTCTACCACACAGCAAAATTCCCGTATATGATGAAAGTAATCCCATGGAGATTTCAAAAGAAGAAGAGCAGACATTAGTACCTTACGAGAGTACAAATCACCAAGAATTGAGCCCCAGCCGCCATCACTGAAACTGAGCTGTACGATGGACGAACCAAACAGCACAAACTGAGGTCTTTCTGGTCCTACCATCTCTCTTTCTCAAATTCTCTCTGAAACACAATTATCTCTCTGACTTAGAATTTGAATGTGGAAAATACAAGGAGCGTCCTTATTATATATCCTCGTGCCCGTCGTCGTCAGAAACCACTATCCCCATACTTTCTCTTTGTTTCTCTCTCTCTCTCTGAGTTTGAACTTTGAACCTAATAATTGCTATATATTATTAACCGAATTCACAAACGACAAACGACGTAGTACTAGTTGAGTCACGTGCTATACACTTGAAAAATAATTTTATAAGTTTATACATATAGTTCGCTTAGAAGTTAAGTCTATTAATTAAAGCAAGAGAAAAGATATATTTTTAAATAAAAATAAAAATAATAATAAAATTCAAAAAAGTGAAAAAGAAAAAAAAAATAAGGGGAAAG